CGCCCCCCAGCCACGGCCCCAGCATGTGGCAGTGGAAGGCAGCTGGGGACTGATGATGGTGTTGAGAAGGTGGTGGGAGTCATGGAGGTGGGGTGCTGGAGAAAGCCACAGGGAATCACATGTTATAACATGCCCACTGCCACGGATTTCTTCCCGTTTCCTTGTGTTCAGTACCAGGTGACAGACGGGCTCCTCTGCGCAAAGGGTTGTTAGCAGCAGGAGTCTCAACATCAGTTAGCATGAGTGTCCCCCTCTAGTTCCCGTCACTCAGGAAAACGGCCTTCTGCAAACACCCACAGCCCTGCTGAAGTGCAATTCACCCCTCTCCCTCCTCGAGTGGCTTAGGTGCAAGTGGAGAGGTGAGCTCACTAACACGAATGCCCACATGTGTGATTCAGCTGAGAAGAGAGCAGCACTGTGAGGGTGGTCACCCTGGGTATCACTGGGAAAGGCTAGCAGAGGAGCTGTAACCACAGGTTGCATAAATTTATTCATATGAATAACCCCAGAAAAATTCCACTAGTCAGACCTCCCAGCAGTCCTACACCATTGCCTTGCTGTACCTCCTCATCCTACTCCAGCCTGAGTGCTCCCTCCCAATAGTCAGCCCCTCTCTGTATGAGCCTCCACTACCACTTCTTCCCTGCTCCTATTCTCCTGAATCCTTCACTCCCAAGGAACCATTTCCAAGACTATCCAGTGCCAGTTCAAGCAAACCTGCTCCTTTGTACTGCCTTCAGGTTCTAAAAGAATGTCCTTCACGCTCTTTTAGATGCCTGGTTACCCCTCTAGGAGATCTTCCTTCTCCCATTTCCTATCACCACTTCAGCTCTTCCCCAGCAATACACCTCTCCTAATCCCCCAATGTCCTTCCGGGCGCACATTTTAATCCTGTAAAGAGGCAGCAAGGAGAAAATTAGGTGTTACAGGCTGTTCTTACTTTGTTACCTCTTTCCAGTCCCCAGGATTATCCTGCTGGTAACCCCTTCCAGCTCGTAGCCTGATCCTACAGCTGGAAACATCCCCAGCTCAGGTTCCATTCTCGATGGTTTTGTAACTTCTAAAAATGCACTGTTCCAGCATGATACTTTCTAGCATCCCAGATTTTCTTCCACCTCAGATCCTTTCCTGCACACACTCTTCTGTAGTTCCCCAACCTCCAGCTCTCTTTTTCCAGGTTCTTCTCACCCACTGGCATTTTAACATTATTTATGTTCCCCACTGACGTTCCCTTTCTACTACCCATCACCCGGTAAATGCCTTTCACTCATTCCTTTCTCAACAACATCACCTCCATACTACTCTTTTGTACTTTTCCTGCTCCCTATATCGCTTATCCCTTGTGTCTTCCTTCCAACTCCCCAGTCTACCTTATCAACCAGCATCATGCTCACTCTGTTCAAGATACAGTTTTCTACCGTCCACTTCCATCTCCTAGAATATTTCATTACCAAAAAATGTAATAAATGCTGCTCAACTCTGGCCCACTGGGATTTGGCTTTAATTACTCTTTGATTACTGTAGGATTAGCAAAGGAGTCTTAAGGTACCAACATAGTTCCTGTATTTAAAGTGAAGAAGCCCTAAGACCAATGGATCTGTAGGCCAGGTAGGTGACAGCTATCCTGTGAAAAATAATGGAAAATCTGACACAGATGCTTGTTAACAGAAAATTATAGAACAGGAACGCAGCTTTTTGGAATGCGACACTCAGCATTCCTTTTGACAACAAAGTTGTGTTTGATACAGTAAATTCATACTGTTACGGTACACAATTTTTGTGAGACGTGACCTATTGATATGAAGAAAATTACAGTATGCTGCATTGATTAAGATGTGCTATGCAAAGTCAATAAAGCACAGAGCAAGTGAAGCGATAACTTTCAATGGACAGAACAAATAATTGTCTGTTGGGAATGCTCTTCGGTTATTTTGGTTGATTTCTGCAGGGATCAATAGTTGAATGAAAACCGGTCAACATTTCCATCCATGATTTGAAAGTAAATACAAAACCGCCGCAGGTAAAACCCTGCAGATGACACAAACATGAACAGGGTGATAAACAGCAGGACGAACAGGCCACTCTGGATAACTTGGTAAGTTGGGTGTATTCAAACAAAATGCATTTTCTTACAGATGTGAGGAATGTATTCAGGTAGGAACACATAGAAATAAAAGCCATCCTTACAGAAGGACCCCTGAAAAAACTTTGCAAGTCATAGAAGATACACATGTTCGTGTGAGTTCTCACTGCGTTAGGGTAATGTCAGAAAAGGCTAATGGACTCTTTGCGTGGCTGAAGAGGGGCAGACACTCATGGTGGTCAGATCTCCAGCAAAGGCAGCTAACCTGCTGGCCTAAACAGGAGTGTGGGAAGCAGAAGTGAGTGATCAATGCTTGATGCCTCACAGGGCAACCCTGGGGATGGCGCCACATTCACAGGCAAGCTGGAAAGCTGGAGACAGCTCAGAAAAGAACCACGGTGGGACTGTGGTTTAAGGCTGTAAGAAAGTCTTCTTAAAGAAAGCAATGAGCTAAACTATTTAAAACAGAAAGACTGAACAGTAATTTGGTTACAGTATAGAATACTAGGAAGAAAATACCAACAAATAATGATCTATTTTAATTGGAGAAGGGCTGAAACTCAACCATGAGAGGCTGGAGCCAAACACACTCAAGTAAGTCACAACATTGCAGTCGTGAGGGTTTTTACCTACTAAAAGAAATATCATACAAGGAGAGTCAGAGAGAGCTGGGACTGTTCAGCCTGGAAAGAGAAGGGTCAAGGTAGATCTTACACTTCTTTATATTTCTGGGCACAAGTATAAACTGGGAGAGGAGTGTCTGGAGAGCAGCCCTGCAGAAAGGGATCTGGGGGTGTTGGTCGGCAGCAGGCTCAACGTGGGTCAGCGGCATGCCCTGGCAGCAGAGAGGGCAAACCGCACCCTGGGGTGCATCAAACCCAGCACAACTGGCTGGTCAAGAGAGGTGATTGTCCCGCTGTATTCAGCGTCGGTGCGGCCTCACCTTGAGTGCTGTGTGCAGTGCTGGGCCCCACCATTAGGTCCTTGAATGCATCCAGCAAAGGACAACAAAGCTGGTGGAAGGGCTGGAAGACATGTGCTATGACAAGCGGCTAAGGACTTTGGGCTTGCCTAGTTTGGAGAAAAGGAGGCTGAGGGGTGGCCTCATTGCTCTCTGCAGCTTCCTGAGGAGGTGAAGCGGAGAAGGAGGTGCTGAGCTCTTATTCCTGGGACCCGGTGCCAGGATGCATGGGAATGGTTCAAAGCTATGCCACGGGAGGTTTAGACTGGACATTAGGAAGTATTTCTTTACCAAGAGGGTGGTCAAACCCAGGAACAGGCTTCCTAGAGAGAGGCTCAAAGCCCCAAGCCTGTCAGTGTTTAAGAGGCATCTGGACAATGCCCTTAACAACAGGCTTTAACTTCTGGTCAGCCCTGCATTGGTCAGGCAGTTGGACTGGGTGATCGTTGCAGGTTCGCTCCAACTGAAATTATTCTATTCTATTCTATTCTATTCTATTCTATTCTATTCTATTCTATTCTATTCTATTCTATTCTATTCTATTCTATTCTATTCTATTCTATTCTATTCTATTCTATTCTATTCTATTCTATTCTATTCTATTCTATTCTATTCTATTCTATTCTATTCTATTCTATTCTATTCTATTCTATTCTATTCTATTCTATTCTATTCTATTCTATTCTATTCTATTCTATTCTATTCTATTCTGTTCTGTTCTGTTCTGTTCTGTTCTTATCAATGAGCATAAATAGCCAATGGGAGGGCATAAAAAAGATGCAGCGAGAGTCTTCGCAGTGGTACTTGGTGACAGGACAAGAGGCAATGTGCACAAATTGAAATGCAGGAAATTCCATTTAAGCATAAGAGAAATGACTTTATGGTGATGGTGGCCAAACATTGAAACATTGGTTGTGGTGTCTCCATTTGGAGATATTCAAAAGCTGATTGGACAAGACCCTGATCAACCTGCTCTATCTGTCTCTGCTTTGAGCAGGAGGTTGGACTAACCAATGTCCAGAGGTCATGTCCAGCATCAATCATGCTGTGGTTCTGCGACATTTTTCATGTTGAGGACACTCTGTGTTGCAGCTGGAGATGTGTGGGGGTCCCAGTGTCTCTGCTTTGGAACTACTCAGCATGGCAGGCAGTGGTTTCAGCAGAGCTGGGCACAAGATGCAAAACTGGCTTGACAAGAAAGGATAATAAAAAAATTTAGGGTTTATTCCAAACTAAAGCAAACCTGAACTGGTGGAACACTGACATCTTTGGGGAAACAGATCGAACTGTTCAATTCCATCAGGACCAAGGCTGTTTTTTTTGCAGGAGCCAATCATGCCTATGAGGATCAGGGATTCGGTGCTGCCTGACAATAATGATGTGACAGAGGCTACTGGCAGTGAGCAGTGCAATGTCCAGGATTGTTTCTCTGTCTCCTTTATCACAGAGCCTTGAGACTTCGGCAGAAGGGGTTTCTGATGCCATAAAGTTGTGTGATACATAGC